GTTTTTTTAAAATATTCATTTAAGAAAAGCTGAATTTCTCTTCAATAAAAAAATTTAATCACAAGGGAATTACGATAAATTTGATTTTAAATCTACTCGTAAAGAAATGGTTTATCAGTATTGTTTAACATCAAGAAATGGTTTATTATTCTTGATGTGAAACAGTAAGAAAATATTTAAAAAATGTTGCAATGTGTATATAGATAATTAATATAGAAAAAAAATTAAAAAAATATCATTGATTATGCATCAAACCAGTAATTCCGTTTTATCATTCTGTACAAAACGGAAGATTTTAGAACAAAGGAAATGAAAAACTAAGTGATTTCTTTCGTACTTCGAAAATTCTACAAAAGATCGTGAAGGTAAACAATATTTCTTCAACATAATCAAATATCAAAAAGACAGATCCCATCTGGATTTTATTTAAATGCCTAGTATATACCTTTGCACTGAACGTGGCAACAAAATCTTTATATATATAGAGAAGAATCCAACACAATGTATCCAGATAGTGCAAGATTTGTTCGAAGATATATTTATGACAAGGGTGAAGTTCATACTGTGTCTTTAATCAAGGAAGACACATTTACAAGTGTAAATTTGACGCTTCCTCGTCCATCAAATATATCATGATTCTTAAGGATCTCTACAAATATATATATATATATATATAGATGTGTGTGTATTCACTTTGAGCACTGTATCATTAGGACGAATCCATGCATATTTTATTGTTGCAGAAGGAGACCAAGTGCACACCAAGTCTATCCCTGTCATGCACTCACTCACTCACTCACGATTCCCACATGGGGGAAGCAGGAGGGCAAGGACCCAATATAGCTTAATTAAGCAACAATACACATAAAGGAGAGAGAGAGAGAGAGAGAGAGTGTGTGTGTGCACAACTGGGGGGAGTTTGACTGGGCACCAGACAGACCAGGGATAGAAGAACAGGCAATAGCAGCACCAGCACCACATACTAACAACTACTACGAATGAAGAAAGAAGTGGCCAACCACACAAAATCAGCTGCGAATCTGGCGATGATGCACCCTGGACACACACACACAGTGCGCGGGGAGGGGGGAGGAGGATCTCTGCATTTTGTAGGGCACACAAAATCTGCTCCGAATCCGAGAACCTACACTTCCACCCCAGTTGCCCAACGACATGACGCCCCCTAATCCCCCCAATTGCTCCGCCGCTAGCTAGCGGGCACAACTGCTGCTGCTGTTGCTGACTTGAAATGTCAGGCTGCCGAGTCTCATCCCGCTGCTGCATGTGGGATTGTGTGCCCCTCCGCACCTGTGACCCCTGCGACCATGGCTTCCTCTCTCACAGCTCCCTACCCATCTACAGTGCTCGATACGCAGGGCTTTGGTGCCACCCCGCTCTCGACACCCACTCACACAGTTGGGTGGTCGTCTGTGGTCGAGAATCGGTGTGGCTGCTTAGGGCGGGCGTGTGTGTTTGGGGACGCCAGTACCCTGTTGCGCATGTGGGAAATCATCAGACGGTGCTTTGGCCAACGTAGCAAGCCTCGGCTGCTGTCTCCAGTGAACCGACTCCAGTTGTTGCCGTCGACTGGTGCTGAGTTGGCTGGTACATGGAAAAAAGCTGAGATAACTATAGGAATTACGACTTTGTGAGATTTATAAATATATAAATCTTTTGTATGATTCGCATGTTAAATGTATTGATGGAGGAGTGCTGCGAAATCCCGATGGCAACTTTGCTTTCACTCCAGACCTGGTTCACAGGAGCACCGAATCTGTTGATATTGTCCATGACTTTAGAGCACTGCCGCAGAGGGCGGCTGACCAAGTTCTTTGCGAAGATTTATCCGTATCAACTTTGGGATTTTTCGTTGCATGTAGTTTGACCTCAGGCATCATATCAGAGCGCTGTGGTTGTCACGGCATTCATCGACAAAAGAATGTCGTGCGAGAATAAAATCGGGCAATTGATTGAAGTGCATCCCTCTGCGAATATCTTCTGTGATTAAAATAACTTTGTCAAAAATAGAAGCTCAAATATCAAAGATGGTCAACGAATCCTAATGACGTGCATATCAAAGAACCCCACACCATCTTTTTAGACAGTGGGTTAATTAATCATGCTGGGATGAACCAACTCTTGGGGCAATATCATGTGTTGCCTTTCTTCAGCATCTCCGTCAAACACACTATTCTTCCAACAAATGCACTCACACACACACAAACAAACTTCAACTTTGACCTTCTCGTCAGGAAAATGTGTATACTGTAAATAAGAAAAGAAAAAAATAATTAAAAAAAAGAAAAAGGAGACAAGAAACAAAATAGTAGGAAAGGAGGTTGCACACCCTGTCTCACCCATCACCAGGCGCTATTAATAAAAAAAGAGGAGAGTTAGAATGGTAGACCATATGTGACAAAAGAAAGCTTTTATAAAGGGAGAAAAATATACGTGGTTGAATAAGGCAGCTCCAGCCCCAAAAAGCTAGAATCTCCTGGCAGATCAGATCTGGTATTCTTTCCTGGATTGCGGAGGCAGACAAAACTCCATTCCCATGCTCTGTCAATCGTTGGCCCCATCGTCTCCACCCTCCCAGGCCAACGTCGGACTGGAGCCGAGCGGAGCCGAGCCGAAACCATAGCCAATCCAAGCCCGCACCCATCCCATTTAAAAACAAAAAAACAAACACTTACACGTAGCCTTGCAACTGTTCTGTGCAACTGCAGACTAGATTCTCTGGGGAAGCGTAGTAAATTCCCTAGATTATCGTTGGGTGGCAAATCTGGCACTGAATGAAATTCACCGCAGCCTGGTCTCCCGCAAGCGAGACACGTCGTTGGAGTGAACTCTTCAAAAACATACTATTCAAAAAAGATACAAATTTGACATGAATAAATGAAGTAATGAGTGACTGAATTCGCCACTAATAGTACAAGATTCAGAAGCATCATGGGTGGAGGTTTTCAGATTTTATCTGTAACTTTGGTTTTTTTTCTCTTTTTTTTCTTCTTTTGCAATATTTACAGGAGCTATTTAGGTTGGGAAGTTTTATTCATATTGTATACATCTACTACCATTGAGTACAGGTTCTAGTTTTTTTTTAAAAAAGAAAACGATTACTTGGTTTCAACCATAGCTGTATAATGGAAATATAGGTCACTCTTTAATACGTTCAATGATGACTTAGGAATACTGAGTCTTGTAAAGGTAGCCAGTTTTGTTGAATAAATAAATCTCACAATGTGGGAATTTACACTAATAATATCGTTAATATTTTGATACTTTTCAATTGTACATTCAAGTAACATATATATATATATATATATATATATATTTGCGTTGATGATATTTTCATTATTATATAATATTTTTTATTTAATTAAAATTTCAGTATCTCGTCAATTAGATTCAAAAATAAAATAAAATAAAACTTTATTTTAAGTGTCATCTTTTTACCTTTCTACACAAGCCATTCATATGTCCTGTTGGTGCGCCAATGCAATTACTGGTGGTTATAAATAGTTTTTGTATAGAATCTTGACTAACTAGTACAAATTTTGAATATTTTCGAAATTTTATTATTCATCTTTTGAAAGCAATCTTAGAAATTTTCCATTACAATTTTTTTAGAAACTTCGGTCAGATGAAAACATTTTTTACGTTTTCAACTGGTTTTTTATGTTTTTGAGAAGACTTTGATGAGAAAAACCACAGTGTTTGTAGTTATTTATGTTTTTGTTCAAACCGAAAAAATAGAATAATGATAATAAAAAAACAGTCATGTTATTGCAACAAACGGCAGTATGACTTTCCTATTTTCTAATCAATTTTTGGGGGAGATTTTGTTGCTTTTTTCTTGTTAAAACTTACTCAAGCGTCCATAATTATTTGCTCACACATCCAAAATAAGGATTATTACAATTTTATTGATTTACGATTTAATTTATTTTTAATTATACAGCAATTGAAGTAAAGAAAATAAGAAAGATTCAATCTTATATTCTACACCACCAACATAGGGCAAGATGTGCTTGTCACTCTAAGATTCTCCTCTTTCATGTGATCCTATGATGTTCTCAAAAAAAAAAATAAATAAATAAAAGAAGAAAAAGAAAAAAGTGCACAACACCTTGTGAAAACTTTCTTTGGATTTGAACTCAATAGTGAGTTTGAATTTAATTTTTTAATCCCCAATATTGAAGTCCACTAAAAGTTGCAAAAAAAAATCTAGAAAAAAAGTAGTGAAAAAGGAAGAAAAAAGGCTCCGGTCATCTCATTCATTCATCCCTTCACGCAGTGAATTCAAAGCAGTCACGACAGCGAACAGATGCAAACACACATTCATCCATGAAATATATCCATGCAGACGAAAACACATTCATCCATGCATGGGACGATGGGTGGTGCGGGCGGGGCTGGCAAATCCGATCGGAATCCGGCCACAATCATTTTGAGCTCCCCCCCCCGCGCCCGCTCCAGACCTACTATTTGACCACTATTGGGAACTTAGGGAACGGGAGCGGAACCCAGAACAAGAGAGACAGGATGGGAATGTGGTCAGGGGAACAGGAAGAACCGTCAACAGACAGACACGGAGACAGGGAGCTAACGCGGGTAAAGGGGGTTGCTACTCCTCCTCCTCCTCCGCTCCGCCCGTTTCGAGTCCCGCGACTTGACGTCGCTGCGCGAATTAGTTGCTATCTCCATTGCGCTCCCCGCATTGCTGCTGCTGCTGCCATCGCTAGGCTCCACTCTACTCAATCACTTACTCGCTGCGTTGCATGATCACAGTCAGGTTGGTTTCCATTTCTGGCGATGCTCTCGGGTCTTGGGGGGGAGGGTTTCCCGGTTTCGGTGCGGTATTTGAGCGCTGCAAGCGCAGCTGATGAGATGAGGTGTCAAGTTTTTGGGCGAGAATGAGGGAGTACGATATCAGTCGTGGCGCTGCTGCATGCAGCGAGGGGTTCGTTTTTTGTGGTTTACAGTAAGGAGAAGATTTTCAGTCTCGGGGTTCAGGGATTGGAGATTGGATTTTGGCGGGTTGGTTGTGATGGAGCTGAGTTTTGGGTTGAATGTGTTGTCTGGTGGTGGGTGAGAGTTGCGGAGGCGGAGTTTTGGGACGCGAGATTTGGATGCTTTTTGCGGATAGGATTTGTGACTGGAGAAGGGTTGCTTCATGATATTTTGTGTGTGTGTGGGTTGTGTGAGTGAGTGAGGTGGGATTCGTGTCAGCGCTTCCTGGTGCTGTCCGTTGTGTGTTTAATGTCGACTGGGCAGTGGGGTGTGTGTCGAGTGGTTAAGAGGTTGTTTGAAATGGGAGATTGGATAGAAAGCGAGGGGGTCCAGAAGGTTGAGTTGACAACTGTTGATACGCCAGCTTTTATGACTTGATTCTATCTGGAACACACAGTTCGGCGGTTGTTTACAGTGTGTGAAGTTAGGTGTGCGACCGAGTGAGGCAGGAGAATCGCCCAAAGGTTGTGCTGGAGGGGGAGGCTTCATGGTGGGTATATAGTTGAAAGTTCAGTGGATCTGTCCTTGAATTGTCTCACACAAGCTGCTGTTCTCAGAATCCTATCCTGCATGAGGAGGAGACTTGCTGTAGTGCTCGGACTATCCACAGGCTACGATTTCAGCAGCCCTTCTCCACTTGAACCAAGAGCCATTCCAATATGTCTGGAAATGAAGAATCTGAAGTAGTGCAACATGAGCAGCAGAAATCGTGTTCCGGGGAATATGGATTGATTTGGATTGGTGTGTCATTAGTCCTAGGTTTCAGGGAGCTTACAATTTCGTGACGCTGCCGTGGCTTATCAGAGATTTCTTTAATTATCCGAAGGTGGCCGCCCACAGGCAGGTCATGATCGATTACTGTATAATCGTCAGTGCTACGACCATTGTTTCTAGTTCTATCGCGGCTTTTGGCCTATGTAGCACTCTTCTGGTATCGGCAGATTGTCCATTGAGTTTCACCATGTCGCTGTCGGGGTGTACATTATGGCCAATACATCGACAATCCTTATAATTGTTTTGTTTTGTTTTGTTTTTTTTTTTTTTTGACTTCGTGCCTGTGAAAATCTCTAAGTTATTCTATGCGTTAGGTGTTGATGATACTTATACTTTTTTTTTTTTTTTTTTTTTTTTTTTTTTTTGACAAGGATGTGGTTGTGCTTGTAGGTGCACTTCAATAATGCCCAACCTTTCATGCAATTGGCGGAAGGTTTTTCGTGATTCTTTGTTCGAAGTAGCAACAGTAAGATTGGATCTCGGAGTGTGATCCTCTTGCAAATTGAACCTGAAGGGTAAGTTGAAGGAGTGCAATTTTGCCATTCAGAACTGACTGAATCCGTTAAGCTCTTGGGAGCGGACACACTAGCCGAGAATGAAGCAGACAAGCATTTCCCAGAAGTTCGAGGCACGGAAGTGCGCTAGCCGTTCCAATCGCTAACTGGAGCTCTTAAATTGGGCTCGATGAGTGTCGTATTGCTGTAAGTCAATGACCGAAAAAATCGGCTACATTGCCTTCGAACTTATAGTCTTCTTGAAGGTGTTCTTGGCTGATTGTATTCCTTGAAACGAAGCCCATGCGATTGTTGAAGAAGTTCGAGGCATAATTATTCAAGTACAAACGTGAAGGGCACAGTACAGGATATCAAATTCTAGGACAGTGCAGAGGAAGTGTGGAGACGGTGACGTGGAGTTATTAAGGAGAGGGAAGCCACTCCTATAGTGCTTGTACGAATTTCTCTAAAATGGAAACAGAATGGAGAGAGTAGAAGTTGTGAGATGTTTCTGATCGAACAGCGCAGAATTTGCTTACACATCCAGGCACATTCGCAACTAAATAGTAATAAGAAGTTGAAGGTTCCTGCAGCTGGATTGAGGAGGTACACAGAAGGGTGTGAGGGGGGTGGCTGATTAGATTCATTCAGTGACATTCCTGTAAGGCTTTTATTAGTTAACTCCAGGTTTCATCCAGAGCGAGATATAGGGGAAGAACTTCGCTGAGCTTAAGCTGCAATGCTGGGCCTCGCACCCAATAATACAGGAGAATCGACCTCCCCCATTCAGCGCTTAGAGAAGACCATAGAGCGGTCGCCGGATTCAACTCCGGACTCTCTGGACCTGCCTCAGTCGGTGTTGCAAATTGTCGCCACATCCCTCCAGTGTGACCTCCTCGTAGCGGGAGTGCTTACGAATTCGGCACGTCTGGCAGAGACTGTTCTATGCGTTCCTAAGGGACGCATAACTGCTCCTGTTCGGCTTTCGAAAGGGATAATTGCAGCAGCTGCCTCTTGTAAGGTGTGTTTCTCCAGCCCCCCTCCCAGTTGATTAGGTTCAGCATTTTGTGTTGGATGATATTAAGGAATTTAATAGCGTAGGAAAATTGTAGCATTGTACAGACTAGCCTACGTTCTTCCTGCATGTTTGCATTTCTCGTTAGAGTCATTCGTTATGTCTATATGTTTTCAGGTTGTGAGAACAGAGGGATTAGTTCTTCCTGGTGTGTTCAAAGCTGTTCTAGGAGCACAACCTGAGCGATTTCTCGGCACTTGCTTCAATGCTGAAGGGTATGTAACCCGGGACTGTTTTCTCCTAACCACTGTCCTTTCAACAGTTTCAGGTTTGAATATGTCAGTTCTCACATCCTCTCAAGCTGCTTCACCGAAATCTCTCAATTATTTGTTAATTGAATTGTCTATTTGTTTTTGTGAAAGCGTTACAGGTACGAGGGGATCTGCTATGCTGTTTGGGTGGATCCCTCCAAAGTATCGGACGTTGCTCCAGACGTCATGGCAGAGGCAGGGTATTCCCTGCCACTCCTACTTGCGAACCGGGTCCGAGCTCAGTGTTGTGATCGGATGGGCCGGAAATTTGATGAGATCATGAATCGATCACCTCAGGTAATCAGAACCTCGCTTGGAAGTCATCAGTGAGGAATCAAAACGTGGAATCTAGTGAGTTCTTATCGTATAAATCTCATCAGGGTATGATGGGATATCTGTATTTTTGCGCCGCTGTTTGATGTTGTTCGATTAACTTCTGGTAAAATTTCTGTGCCACCATTTGAGCTTTTTCTGAAAGCTGAGAGTAGTGTGCATCAGGTGTACTCAATAGTGAAACTGCATATCTGCCTGTAGGCCGTGGTGTTTGTAGACGATGGTAGAGCTCCATGTCTTATCAACTCAACAGCAGCGAAGTTACTCGGGCTTCCGCATGCTGGAGAAACGAATCCGATGGAAGTTGCTGTGGGTCTGCGAAGGTTGGCTGATCGCAACGAAACTCGGTCGAATGCATACAGGTGAGCTTAAAACAAATTCTAAAGATGGGCGTTTTGATGGAGATCTATTCAGTTCCTTGCAGATGCATTTCCTCATCTGCATGCTCTTCAACAGGTGTAACTTGGATTGTGTGTTTACGAGCACAGTGAGACATTTAGGAAGGGTAGAGTGGCACCAGTGGGGCTGCTCACAGTAATTGTCCTTTTAGTCAACCCGAACTAAAACAGCAAGATTTCTACGTTGGAGTGTTTCGTCAGGTGCTTCAGTAAATTGGCTGGTAATCCTCATCTAGCGCATGAATGGGAATGGGAATTGAAGGATCCGCGCTCGGTTCTTCGAGTTCGGTCGTATCCAGTGAGCAACGTTGCGACACGTGGTCGTGTTTGGTTGTTCGATGACATTACCAAACAGCAGGATGCAAAAGATGCAGTTGAGGCAGTTGACCTGGCTAAATCTCAGTTCTTAGCCATGATGAGCCATGAGCTTAGGACTCCAATGACTGGTATGAAAAAAGTGGTATTTGATGTATTCTGTACACGGTAATACCAGATGCGTTGTTTTCGGACGTTGCTTGGGTACTCTTGTCAGTTCAGTTTTTGAACGCCAAGTCCGTGATGGTACTTTCATGCGTGCTCTATAGGAGCAGCTGTGGACATTCTTCGTTGAATCTCCCGCTGAAATTTGTCCTGGGGTTCGCTCTGTGGCAGGTGTTCTGGGCATGTTGGACTTACTTCGCCTGACTCCTTTAACGCCCGAACAAGCCGGATTTGTACGTGTCATGCAAGGCTCTGCTGAGGGCTTGATGCAAGTCTTGAATGAAATTTTGGACTTTTCAAGAATACAATCTGGACATCTTTCGTTGAATGTGGTTGATTTTCACATTGGAGAGCTCTTGGATCAGGTACGTAATCCTGAGTAGGAAATGATGCGTGTTTCACTTCGGCTAGACCTGGAGTGGTCATCAACAATTTTATGGCTCTTTTTTTTGTTTTTTGTTTTTTTTTTTTATATATATATATATATATTAGCAATGACTCGTACGATTCTTTGAACTTCCGTGGTTTATAGCTTAACTCAACTTTTTTTATAATTATAGATTCTTCCCAAATCAAACAGTTTCGTCCTACAAAGGACGGGTGCTTTGGCAATGTAAAAGATAGTCTGGCTTTTGTAAATATTTGGAAATGTTTCTGGTTCATCATGGCCTAGGGAGCTTTAAGTTGAAATTATGCAAGCTTTTGAAACAGATTTTTTAACTGCGGCGTTTTCTCTCCTAACCCCTACCATAATGTCTATTCGAAGTAGTAATAATTTTTGTTAGTCGAATAATTTCACTTGCACACAGTAATGAGAATACTGTGAAATCCTTTTATTATTAACTAACCCATGTTCTCATACTTGTGCTAGAGTAGCAAGTTTCTGATGTTCTTAAAGTTTCTACTATTGCCTCATGGTTAGGTTTCAGCGCTATTTCAAGGTCGTCTGAATGAAAAAAGATTACCCTTACATGTGATCAAACCTATTGCTGACGACATGGTAGTCAATGGTGATGTCAATCGATTGCGTCAGGTATGAACTCTTTATTTCGGTTACCAGCCAATCAGCTTTGTATAGCTGCTGAACAGTTGAGGAAGTATTTGAGCGATCTTCTAAGGTGAACTTGTTGTGCAAGGAAATATGCTCAAGATTGTTATGCCATGATATCAATGTCGTAACTACTCGATACGTGTATGGCCATCAGGTCTTATCTAATTTGGTGAGTAATGCCATAAAATTTACTGAGCATGGAAGCATCAGGGTAACGTGGCAGAGGACTCAAAAATGTAATCATTCTACACCAGTTGCCAAGGTCATCGGCATAACGGGAGGAACAGAGAGCCAAGGCCATAGGGTGTGTCTTTTTGAGCACCTGTACTATCAAGACGTGTTATCTCTGAGCCTGTAAATGCCTGTTATCTTCTTTATTTTGGTTATGTTTCGATAGTAATTAGGAAAAGTGCTGTGCACTGCCATGATTTGTACTTGGATAAAGTACATGTAAGTGCTACATAAAAGCTCATGAAATTATGTTATTCAGGTTTCCTTTAGCGGAGGCAAGGAGGAGACTTCAGTCTCGAAAGATCCTCCTCACTTGTCCGGTGAAATGCGTTATAATAATCATCGCGCTACCAAGGCGTCAACCGTAGCTGACAGACTGCGATTTGTGTTATCCGAGAGTCCGTTCAATGTTACTAATCAAGGTCAGAACGGCTTTGTGGATTTGATGGACACAAGTGGTACTTGTAGTATGGACGAAGGCTTAGATGGTGAAGAAGGAGGTCTTTCATCTTCCCCTGATGAGGACAATACTACTACCTCTACCAACTCGGACTCACAAGTGTGGTTCGAGGTTCGAGTTACAGATACGGGAATAGGCCTCACTCTAGAGCAACAATCCAGACTCTTTCAATCTTTCTCTCAAGGAGACAGCAGCGCAACAAGAAAATTTGGTGGTACAGGTCTGGGCTTGGCAATTTCGAAAGGTCTTGTAGAAGTCATGGGCGGTAGAATATGGGTAGAGAGTGATTTCGGCAAAGGAAGTACTTTCGCGTTTTGTGTTCCATTACGAGCTGCTACGAATCTCGCCAGTTTTCTTCCAAACTCCGAAAATTCATCCTCACCACGAGCAGCCTCTGTAAAATTCAGACGCAAAGAGAGATCACTTCAAGTTTTGGTAGCTGAGGACAATTTAGTGAATCAGTTACTAATAACAAAGTTGCTGAAACATCATGGTCACGAGGTGATGGTCGAGACTTCTCTTAGAATCGCTTGCTTATTTTGATTTCTCTGACTTCTTGTTCTTAGTTTGGAGTGGCTCTAATTCTTTTTTGGCCAAAGCAATTGCGTCAGAGAAAGTCCTGTTTTATATTGCGGAATTTCATTTAATTTTTCTGCGCAGGTTGAGACAGTAGGGAATGGACAACTGGCAGTTGAAGCTGTACAAACGGGAAATCATGACCTGATTCTTATGGACCTACAGATGCCTGTACTGGACGGCCTTAGTGCAACCAAAGCAATTCGTGCTCTTGGTGGTCGTGGACAAGATGTTCCCATATACGCACTGACAGCTGAGGCGCTGACTAAGAGCCATGGATCTCTTGATGCTATGGGCTTAGACGGGTACTTGACCAAGCCCATCAACTGGGAATCTCTTTCGCAAGTGATTGAGAACGTCGTGAGAGGGAAGCGTCGATCGCCGTAAGCATTGACATTTCATGAGTTTCTCTATGATCTGTGCTGGCTGTGAACAATCCTCATGGTGTTATGTACCATAACCACGAGCTTAAAATTTAACATAAGATCTGTAATCTACCTACGACTACATTCTGTAAAATTAGGCTGTAGCACTGTGATCCTACTCTGTCTTGTCCTGATAAGACCTCATGGTGAGCAGAGGAGAAGATTAGACCAATTTGGTTCCGGCTGAATCTGGTTGTTCTCATTTCAGTCCAGCCAATAGCAGCATCCATACCGCTTTTCCGACATCTGCGACCATCTTTGTGATTTCAAAGGATCTGCAGAGAATGTGTGAATTGAAGGCTGCGGGACTGTTAAGCTAGGGGGCTGGGCAGCTTTGAATGAATATATCAGAACAGACACATAGATTCCGTAGTATAAATGACATCCAATGAGTATGTTTGACTTAGGATAGATTAATTTCCTCATCGTGTAAATTTTCTCACATTGAAAGTACATACAAGACTGTTTGGTAATCACCGAATTGGTGATTGAAAGGTTTGGTTGTGCAACGATGGTATTTGCAACTATGTTTAGATGAACTCATTGGAACAAAATGGGTTTCTCTTACTTTCATTCCTCTTGCCTGACGAGTCTAGAAGTGGTAAAAACATGGGGAAAATGGTGTTACCGAATAGAATAGACCCAAAGCTACATGGATAACGCCTCCTTTTTACTGTGGACTCTGGGAGTTGAGTCTACCAGTGCCGGAACTGTACACGGTAGTCACTCACTCAGCCAGAATTGGTGCAGCTCTTAGCCCTTCTGTTTACGGCTTCGTCCTGGTTGTCACTACTTGGTTGAATCTGCCCCCATTTCATTAGGCGGGAACTAAGGAGTTGCTCCTCAGTTCCCGCGTAATCCTCAGTTGCCTCAACACCACTTAAAGTTCGAAGTATGTATTTTGTGGACTCGATACACATTGGTTTTGAATTCTTTTTTGTTGTGTTTACAGGCGAGTGGTTTTATATTCATAAGTGGAGACGTGCTCTTCGGTGAAATTGCACGCTTTGATTGTGGACTTAAATACCTAGTGTATGATATCGCATTAAGTGGACTAAGAAGCTGTGGAGGAAAAGACCACATTCACATTTACAATTGCTCTGGCACTAGGTGGCTGGCTTATGCCCCAAACCATGCGCATCGAAAATCACGTTGTGCTACCGATTACTGCGTCTATGATAATATATTCCTATATCTAACCTTGCCAAGTCTTACAATCTTTGTACTTAACAATGTCTAACGTTGACAGCTGGAACTGCCTAGTATGCAGTCAATGGTTTGCGGGGGAAGTTTAGAGTTTGTAATTATCCTTGGATTGAAGAGCCACTTCTACCCCTTCCATGCACGATATGCAAGATTTGCATCAGTTGAGATTGACCATGTTGGGATGTCAACCCAGTTACTGTAAATGCAAACGTGCGGTACACATACAGAAATCCAGTGTTGGACAAGACTGTTCTACTCTCTGAACTGCAGCCAGGATATTTCAAATCGCAGGCTATGAGAAGGCATGTGAGGAATCACTGCACGTTAGGGTCGGAGTTGCCTAAGTATCGTTTTGGCAATCACCTTCATTGACATTTTTACTGGTAATTCTCATCAATCAACGCTCCATGTTTGCTTTCTTCCTCTTTCGTCAGAGAGTTTAATTAATTGTCCGTTTTGTTTGGGACTGATTGGTTGCTTTGAAGTCAGGAGAATTACACAGCTAGAGTCTTGTTGGTTTGTTTGAGCGTTCCAGTTTTTGTTGGGGCCCTGCTGATGCTGCTTGTTATGGGAGCTGCAAGGGTGTTGAAGAGGATGTCGAGATACTTGCAACCTCTCTTAAATATCTGGCCTCACGGGATGGATCTCTCCTCTAAAATTCAGATTTGGGGTCTCTCTTGGCATCTCTGTGAAGGCACTTACGCATCTCTACTGTTGATGCCTTTCCCGGGAAATGTATGATAGCAATGGACAGATTTGTATAATAATCTGATGGTTTGATAAAACTCGATTGTATGCATGTTTATCACTCTGACAATGTCCTTACAATTGTTTTGTATGGTTCTGAGAAGCACATTTTGAAGCAACTCTCATCCGCCTCACTGTTTTTGTTTAACTGTTGTGATTTCTACTAACGTAATAGTTACGTATATTGATACCACGAGGAACTGGTTTTTCATTTCCTACCTTCGAATATTGAATAACACACCTATTTGTTTTATGCACTGGTTTACGCTCCTAAAACATTGTCACCTACCCTGACACTCTTATTCTGTCTATCATATCGCATTGTCCCTTGTGAGATCAGGATTTTGATGTGCAAGAAGTTTGAAAGCTGCCATAAAAACATCTTGTGCGAGGGATCTGAAGTGCATGACTCAATTATTCTGCTTCATGTATACAAGCTTCCCATTGTCGAGTATCACTTCAGCAGATTGTTCATATATACTATTATTTGAAAAGTAAAGAGATAGACATTATAATATTTCTTGTTACATCATGATAATGGTGGAGAACATATATATTTATTTGATCATTTTTAATAAAAGGAAAACTACAAGAGTGGCTACCTTAACTGTAATTCGATTCTACAAATATGAGAATGATCTCGTTGGTTTTTTTTGTTTTTCTTTTTTCTATTTTGTTTCAATTTATAAGAAAAACTGACATGAACATTTATGGTTCTTGATCCAAATTTTCTTATTTGCTACTGTTTTTGGGGGTTTTCCTTGATAGTGGCAGATTGGCAGTAGACTTTTTGGGCTATTTGGCTGTCAAACAGTACATGGTAAGATTTAAAATGTTGGTATCTTGTCTATCTGAAATATACTTGTGATTCCTTGCTTATCATGCTTTGTTCCAATGAAAATGTTTTATGAAACCTCAGAAAACTGTAGAGATTCTGATCCCTATTTTTAGTATTTAATTAGAATTAGAATAAATAGAAAAAATATTTTATTTCTTTTACTTAAAACTTGAGCAAGCTAGTTTCCAACTTAATAGCTTTTATTAGAATAAAAATATTAATCAGTCAAATCATTACATATAATCAGTATTATAACAATTACTTAAGTTGGAATAATCAGTATAATATAATCAGTATTATAAAAATTACCTAACAATTATAACAATCACATATTTTTTTAAATAGTATAAAAATACAAAACCACCCAATATTCTCAATTCTACACAATTATATTCCTTATATTGATTAGTCACCAAATCAAATCACAAAAATAGAAGCACTAATATAAGTTTGAAATTAAAAATAAAAGAAATCAGAAAGAATGACTATTTTTAAATTTATATATATATATATATATATATATAAAATAAAGAAGAGAGATGAATACAAAAAAAAGAGAATAAGAATCTAGGATAGATTAAAATTTAAGAATCAATTTAATAACGATCAAATATACTATTTAATGATAAATTGTAAGAGATTTAAAAAACTTGAGAAGATGATATTTAAGTTGTATTATTAAAAAAAATATATTTTTTTTGCCTGAAAGCTTCTATTTCAAAGTTGGTATATAATAGTTACTATAGTTGTTAATAAATATAATAATATTTAATTGGTAGAGATGAGATTCATATATCTTTTTAAATTACATAATATTAATTATATGATATATAGTATGCAATAAAATCATTTGTATGTGAACAAAGTTTTTTTTTTTTTTTTTTTTTTTTTTAAGATAATTATACTCTATAATTTTTTGATATTTTATTCATACTTGACTACATAAACTACTATCACAAATATTTTATTTTTATAAATCTATAAAAAAATTAATTTGTTTTTACATTTATTTGAATTTCAACTTGACTAATATATATGAAATAGTATTAAAGACAAGAAATTTATGGATGTAATAAAATAAAATAAGATATATATCAAAGAAAAATGATAAAAGAAATGAAAAAGATGTACATTCAAGAAAGAAATAGAATGGCTATTGCCAAAGACAAAAAGATTATAGATTCATGAAACTAATCTAAAAGCTAGAAAGGCATTTACAAGAGTGAGGAAGACCTCACTATTGCTTCTATATATACTATCTAAATACAGAGCTAAGTACAATGTTCTATAGATCATTTAATATATATCCAACATGTATTTAACTTATAAGGCATGTTTCCAATATGTGTGCTATATGATCAATTTGTACAATAAGTGGCTAATTCATAAACAAATAGTCAATATGTGTAATATATGACAAACTTGTTAGACAAGTTTTTAATCTACAAATCATTTATAAATACTTGTAAAGATAAATCTACATCTATAAATCTTCTTTATAGGATATTATAAATTTATCTATTTTAAATTATTTCCATTCAATTTTTTAATCTCAATAATTATTAATATGAATATATTTGTAATATTAAATCTTATCTTTCTTTTCTAAGGACAAGTTCTATAAGAATCAATAATCACATGTTAAATAAGTTTAAGATGTTACAAATTATATTTGATATATTTTTTGATTTTTGTTTGTTTTTAAGATAGTTGGTAGATTCTTTCAATTATTAATAGTATTTTATACTAGGACAAGAAGACCACTTTTTTCTTTGATCATTATTAAAATCTTAATGAATTTTGTCAAATAAAATATTTAAAATATTATTGGAAATAAATCCAACTTCTAAAAATATTACAAAATATCAAGAATTTCTTCTAATATCTTGATATTAAACACATTCTATTTTGCTAATTTTTCAAAAAAGAAGATGTTGTTCTTGAAGATCTTTATTTCTATTATGTTGTCTTGAAGATTGTGGCAATTTCAATGCCTTGTTCAATACCTTAGCAAATAAAAGTTGTTGAATTGAATCTATTGGTTATTGAATCTTTATATCCTCAATGTCACAAATACAAAGAAATCACAAACAAAGATAAAAGATAGAATATAATTTTTATTGAGCTTACTTTATTTTATAGCAAAATATTTTTTTACTATTCATCTTGATTTTGATGGATGTTGTTAATAAAAAGCATCAATCTTCTCTATCACATTTGTAAGATTCATACATAGCTTCCATGTATATTTATTAATATCTTATTTGTTGTTGTATAACATATTATCTTGTTTAAGAATGCATTGGATTCTTAACTGAGGAAGATAATTTGTATTTTGTAACAAACAAAGAATCTTACAATCATAATAAAATCTTCAACAAACTATAATAGATTTTATCAATCCTAAATTACATTCTAAAAAAACTTTAAAAAATCATTAAGAATATTAAAAAAATCCTAAAAAACCTTAAAGTTTTTATAAAGAAATCATAATAAAAACCTAAAGAATCCTTAAAAATATCTTAGAAATAAAATCTTATTTTTTATAAAAAACTTTAAAAATTCTAGATTAAAATCCTAAAGAAATTATAAAGAAATCCTAAAGAATTTTAAAGTAAAACTTAATCAAATCTTAAAAAAATTCTAATAAATTGTAATGAAATTGAAAAGATATTCTAATTAAACCTTAAATAAATCTTAACCAGATCCTAGCAAATC